GCCTGACGAGGCGCGCGGCGGGAGGCCGTCGGCGAACTGGCGGATCGCCTCCGCGCCGTGCACGGCACCCTTGCGAAATGACCACCATTCCGCTCATGATTACGAACAGACACATCAAAAGTCGGGGGCGCGATGAACGATGACCAGGAACTGGCCCAGCCGGTGGCGGTGCCCGAGCGCCGCGCACCGCAGCCCTCCGTCAAGGTGCTCATCGCGGAAGATGACCCCACCCAGCGCGCCGCCCTCACCGATCTGGTCGCCGCGCTTCGCCCCACCTGGACGGTGGTCGCCGGCGTCGGCTCCGTGGACGAAGTCGAGGCCGCCGTCGACTCCCTTGCGCCCGACCTCTGTCTCATCGACATTCACCTGCAGGGGAGCGACGACCCCAACTGGATCAAGCGCTTGACCGCCGATCTCGCCGTCATCTACGTCACCGGCGACCCCGATTTCGCGGTGCACGCCTTCGACAGCGATGCCATCGACTACGTGCTCAAGCCGATCACCGCGCGCCGCCTGAAGCGGGCGCTGGACCGCGCCGTGCAGGACCCGCGCGTCATCGGCCCGCAGCTTCCGGGCTCGCACGACACCGGGCGGGAGCTGCTGACCCGCGTGACGATGTCCCGTGGCACAGAAACCATCGTCGTCATGCCCCAGGACATCGCCTACCTGGAGGCGGACATGAAGTACACGCGCGTCGTCACCGCCCGGGGCTCCGGACTGGTGCGCATGGGCATCAACGAGCTGTGCTCGCGCCTGCCGCCGGAGCAGTTCGTGCGCATCCACCGCCGCCATGTCGTGAATCTGAAGTTCGTCGACTCGGTCAAGCGCAACGAGTTCGGCTACATGGAAGTCTTCCTGCTGGGCCGCACCGAGGTGCTGCGCGTCAGCAAGAGCTTCCAGCAGGTGTTCCGGCCCGACTGACGGCAAGAACCATCCGGCAGGCTCGTCATGGCCTGGGGCGGTGGATCTTCACTTGGTGGCGCTTCGGTGGCGCTTCGTGGTCCTCACCGACCCTTTCGATCCCTTCGCCCGACCGGCTCGGCGTGCGTCCGGTCCACTGTGAACCATCCCCCAACCTGGGGAGGTTCAACAGGAATCGCCGTGGCCTCGACCCCTGCCTCCGTCCCGCTGCTTCCGGTGCCCGCACGCCGTGTGCCGGGGCGCTGGGCCCTCGTGGCAGGGCTGCTGTGGGCGAGCGTCGAGGTCGGGCTGGCTGGACCTGCGCTCGCAGAAGCACCCATCGTCGACACCCGTGACTGGCCCGCCTGGCGTGCACGCCTGCTGGGGCAGGAGGCGCAGGACGCCGGCGCGACACTGAGCCTGCTGCGCCAACACCATGCCCTCGCGCGGGAACGCGGCGACCGGCACGCCGAATGGATGACGCTGGCCTGGCTCGTGCGGCAGACCGTGCGGTGGGAGTCCGCGCGCAGTGGACCTTGGGTGGCACTGGCCGAACAAGCCTTGCAAGCCGCCCAGCACGACGGGGACGACATCGCGGCCTTCGAGCTGCTGCTGGCCGTGCTCGCCGCCCGCCTGGAACCCCGGCTCGACG